GCAGTCTGATGCGGATCACTCTCTTTTTTTCTCTTTGGGTCCTGCGGGATATTTTATTGCTGTTCTTATCTATGTTGACGATGGTATAGTCACGGGAATAGACTCTGCTCGTATTTCTAAGCTAAAATGCTACTTAGATACTAAATTTCACATCAAAGATCTTGGCAGACTCAAGTATTTTCTTGGAATAGAGGTAGCACGTTCCGCCAAAGGGATCTCATTAAGCCAATGCAAATATGTTCTTGACATTTTAGCCGAGAGTGGTCTTACAGGTTGCAAGCCAGTTTCCTTTCCCATGGATCAACAGAACAAGCTTTCATTGGATTCTGGCGAGATTTGCACTGATCCCGGGCATTACCGTCGGTTGATAGGTCGATTGCTTTATCTCACTATCACTCGTCCAGACATTAGCTATGCAGTCCATATCCTTAGCTAGTTTATGCATGCCCCACGACAACCACACATGGATGCTGCTTATAGGGTATTACATTATCTTAAGGGAAACCCAGGACAAGGTATTTTGGTTCCTTCAAATAGTTCTTTGTCTTTGCGAGCTTATTGTGATGCAGATTAGGCAGGATGTCCAATGACTCGTAGATCAACTACTTGTTATATTATCTTTCTTGGACATTCTCCTATTTCATGGCGATCCAAGAAACAATAAGTAGTTTCCCGTTCTTCTGCCGAGGCTGAATATCGTGCCATGGCCACTACCACTAGTGAGGTCATTTGGCTTCCACGACTTTTACAAGACCTTCAAGTGACATACACTTCACCGATTCCCTTGTTTTGTGACAATCAGACTGCCATTCACATTGCGGCTAACCCGGTATTCCACGAGCGAACAAAGCACATTGAAATAGATTGTCATTTTATCCGACAACATATTCAATCACGAACTATTGTCACTCGGCCCATCTCCTCGTAGCAACAATTAGCTGACATATTTACGAAAGCACTTGGACGCAATCGATTTCATGAATTATTGATCAAGTTGGGCATTTCCATGCTTCATGCTCCAACTTGAGGGGGAGTATTGTGGGATATATTTTATTGCCATCTTTAGTTTATTGTCATTTGTAAAACTTATACAATTATAGGGATTGTTACCATTGTTAGTAGGATTGGATTTGATTTGATTTGATTGTAATAAGTAGGATTTAGACAGATACGCATGTTGTATATATGAAGTTTGTACTAAAGTTTCAAAGCAAGTAAAACAAAATATTTAGTTTTTTCAACAATAGCCACACAACCCACACCCTATGCATCAGTCACAAAATCCACACCACAAGCAGCAGCCACGAAATCCACACCCCAAGCAGCAGCCACACAACCAACACCCCAAATTGATTTTGGATGGTTGTTGGATTCCGTGGGAACAAGCTGTGATTAGAGATTGAGCTGGGTTTTCAAAATTGATAGGATTTTTTGGAAGAAATTTTGGGGTTTCTTTGTTTTGGGAGATATGAAATTGATTTAGAGAAATTAATTTTTGAAATTTTGGGTTTTTCACAGAATTTTTTTCTAAATTTGGAGGGAAGTGACATGGCATCCGGATTATGTGACAGCTGAGGTGGCATATACCACATAGGATGTCACGTCATGAAGTAAAAAAAATGATATAAAGGGTGGTATAAAGGTAATGTTACCTTTTTTTTTTTTTNAACGCAATTCATGAATTTTTATTTTTGTGTGAAATTGTTCATCAACAATATGCATGGACGATGTGATGGATCATGATTTTTGATATACAAAATTGTTACATTGACTATATGCATAGATGATGTGATGCATCATGACACCCATATATAAAAACTCTATCTTTAAAAAAATTCTATGGAGGTTCCCTTTTTACAAACTTAAAAAAAGCCAATATATTACATCATCCATCAAATAAAATATCATCGTATATGCATTTTTAAAAAAAATTAATTAATCATAATAACAATTAATAAAGAATGATGCTATTGGCCCCCTATATTTTATCTTTCAATTTCTCATTTACAAGTTTATCTTATTAAAATGTTTTAGCATATGTGTTGTGTGATAAATCTGGAGCGGATAATTCTTCTTTTGGCCTAGAGATATCTTGCGATATGGACTCCACGATCAAAGTCGAAGATCTCGCTATTTCTTGTTTGAGTTTATATACCAAATTATAATCTGTTTTAAGGGGGTGAGAAAAGATCTAAGATAGAGGCTCAGAAAAGAGAGAACTCGAGAGGGAAAACTCATTGAGCTAACTCTTTGTAACTCAGCTCGTCAGTGCACTTAATAACATAACAATAAATGTAGATTTTGCATTATAAGCAACCGAACCACTTTAAAAAGTCTTTCTTATTTCTATGTTATTTTATGATTATTATTGTACGATCATCATCATATAACCTCCATCACTGATCCATTAGAATCACGCACACATCCTACATGGTTCTAGCATTGTCAATCACGTATCTTCAATTGTTGCGGATTTTTCCTAACAACGATATGTAAATGTCTTTATGAAGTCCACTTACTTCTAAAAGTACCCTTTTATTTATCTTTTCAATGTTTTTTATGCTTTTTGTTTTGAATATAATGTTCATAAATAAAACCATTCACATGTATTTTTTACTTTCAAGATTGTAAGAATAATACTTGTGTTTGGTTCAAAGAATGTTGTATTACTGGAAACATTAAATTAATTGAAAGATAGATTACCTTCAAGATTATTGGAATGTTCAGGAAAATGTGTTTGATTAGGTTGAAATAAATTGGTGGGTATAATATATTCATATGTTTGGTTGGGAGGATAAATTGGTGGGTATGTTATATTCATATGTTTGGTTGGGATGATAAATTGGTGGGTAGGTTATATAGATTGCTAAATTGCCCTCCTTTTTAAATATTAATATAATATTATTTTTTGAATCATTTCTTTTAACCCCCTACATTTGAAATTTTGCTAAAACACCCCAGCCATATAAAAGTTTAATTTGTAACAAAATCACCCCCATCTACCCCAAGCCACTATTGGCCACTAGCCACCAACACCGCTGCCATTGGCATTTGTCGGAACAGCGCACAATCGACCAGATCTGGTCAGCCATGCGCCGTTGTGGGTCATGGATCTAGCTGTTAACGGCCAAATCTATTTTGACATTGTGCACCGAAAATCTAAGAATCAACGGCCATAATAGATATGGGCATTAACGACCAAATCTATGGCCATTTGGCCATTTCTGGCCATCGAACTGGTCGTAGACAGCCAGATCGACGTTTGGTCGCCCAAATCTGGTCAATTGTGCATCGTTTCGAATACTTCTAGCGGTGGCTACCGACGATGGTAGCTAGCGGGCGGCGGTAGTCTTGGGTGGCTTGCAATTTGTTTTAAATATAAGAGCATATTGCCTAAAAACTTAATTAATTATGGGTAAAATTGTAATGGCAGCCTGGCAGGTTTACGTAAATTAATTTCAGAATAAGGACATTATTGTTTAAAAAATTTAATAGTTAAGGGTAAAACTGTAACAAAATAAGATTACCAAGTAATCTTAAAATACTTAAGAAAATTGAGATATTCAAATTACAACCTATATAACCAACAGTAATTGCTATTGGTTTTGGAAGATTACCGGAATCTTATATTACTTGACAACCAAATGTGGTAATTTAATTAATATAAGATGACATTATCTCAGTAATGGGATATAACTCCCAACCAAACAGCCTCTTAAGGATAAGTATTTGTGATACAATAATGCTAGATGTACAAATAGATTTTACAAATAATTCTATACAAGCTAATGTAGCAGAAAATAAATGGAAGAATTAATACAATAATGTTAGATGAACAAACAAATCTTAAAAAAATTTCTATACAAACTGATGTGATAGAAAATAAATAGAAGAGTGAATATAATGAGTTGGACTTTTTGTATTCACTCTTTCATTAATTTTTTACCACATCAATTTGTAGAAAAATCTTTGTAAGATTTGTTTGTACATCTAGCATTATCGATTATGAGAAATGTTACTCTTACAAAGAGTCTTTATACAAAGTAATGTAGCAGCTGCCACACCACCAGTTTGTGAAAAGAAAGAAAAGATTGATGTGAAACTGGTGGTGTGGCAGTTACCATATCATTTTGTACAAAGACTCTTTGTAAAATTCTTTGTACATCTAGTATTTCTCATTAATTATACTCTTAATAATATTATATGTCCAAACTTTCCATACAAACTTACAAGTTGATGTGTTTTAATGTGATAGTATAATTTTAAATTAAAGATAATTCAAAAAAATTAAGGTAGATATATGTTAAACATGCAAGGTTGCTACATCAGTTTGTCAAGAATAGTTTGTAATATATAGCATTACTCATAAAATGAGTGGTGTTTAAAATAACAATTTGTTTTTGAATTACAAATAAAAAGTCTCAAATAATATGTTTTTTTATTCAACCTCTAAGAGATGAGGAAGTTTCAAAAGCCTCAATGGTTTTTGATAAGTATTATATATACCCCAATTAGCGGGGTTTTTGATACTTTATCAAAGGGGTAAATAATAATTTCAAATTTTCAATGGGATAAATAAGAATTTTAAGAGAAAAAATGATAATCTAGGGAGGTATGTAACATCTTCCTACTCTCTTAGAGGGGTATATGTAAAAAAAAAACCCCAAATAATTGTTGGGCCTCCATTATATTACAGCCCAAACATTGACGAACCACTCAAATGGAATGATTTAGTAGTGAAATTGAAACAAGGAAAATGTAATGTCATGATTTTATCAAAATGGGTTATCTTTACTCAAATTAAATATTAAAACGTGATTAAACAACTGAAGAACCACCAGCCGTTTCCCACAAGAGTCAAAGAGTATCTTACAAATTTACGCGCGTAAACTTATATTAGTCTTATTCAACTTGGTCATATAAGAAAGAAGAATCCAAGTTNCCAGAGAGAAACGACACCGTATTGGAAAAAGCTAATTCGAAGTCAAAGTCTTTAAGCTCCTTCAATTTCTAAAAAGCCAAAGCCAAACCCTAAGAATGACCAAACATCACTCTGGAAAAATGGCGATCTCCCTAAAATCGTACCACATGATCCTCTTCACTGCCATCTTTACAGTGCTGATCTCCATAGCCACCTCCAATTCGCAGACGGACTTAGTCTCGGAGCTGCTGAGCCTCCAGTCTCAATCAACATCAGGCATTATTCACTTAAACGACCACCTAATCTCCCGTTTTTTGACCTCTACAAAAACACCACGCCCTTACTCTATCCTCATCTTTTTCGATGCTCAACAACTCCACAGTAAGCCCGAGCTCCACCTCCAAGATCTACGCAATGAATTCTCCATCCTTGCCTCGTCATTCATCACCAACAACCCCTCCGATCACGGAAAACTCTTCTTCTGCGATCTCGAATTCAAAGAATCTCAATCCTCATTCGGAATGTTCGGAGTCAATTCTCTCCCTCACATCCGCCTGGTGGGTCCCGATGCTAAATCTCTCAAAGATGATTCGATTCAGATGGACCAGGGAGATTTCTCACGGATGGCTGAATCAATGGCTGATTTTGTCCAATCAAGAACCAAACTTATTGTGGGACACATTCACCGTCCACCATTGCTTTCAAAGAAACAACTTGGACTCATCGTTTTAATATTTTTAATCTGGTTACCGTTTGTGATTAAAAAGATCATCGCTGGCGAGACTTTGTTGCATGACCGCAAGATTTGGCTATTGGGTTCTGTGTTTGTTTACTTTTTCAGTGTGTCCGGTGCAATGCACAATATAATTCGCAAAATGCCTATGTTTTTGGCGGATAGAAATGATCCAAACAAGCTCATATTCTTTTACCAGGGTTCAGGGATGCAGTTGGGAGCAGAGGGGTTTGCCATTGGGTCATTGTACACAATTGTAGGATTGTTATTGGCACTTGTGACTAATGTTCTTGTTAAGGTGAAGAATGTGACGGCGCAGAGAGTGGTTATGACTTTTGCGTTGTTGGTTTCATTTTGGGCGGTGAGGAAGGTTATTTACTTGGATAATTGGAAGACTGGATATGGGGTTCATGGGTACTGGCCTTCCAGTTGGTGAGGAAGGTTGTTAACTTGGATTATTGGAAGACCTTCCAGTTGGAAGTGATAGTGAAATCAAAATGCGGTCAGCACTTTTTTATGTTTATTGTTCAAAAATTTTCATTAGAGATTCTGATTGAACTTTGATGTTTTATATGTATAACTATTAGATTGTTATCACTTAACTATGTTACTCTTTCGAAAAATATGGGATGTTGAATAATTGCTAGAACTACACCAACACATAATTTTGAGAATTTCTTACTATAGTGGCGTCCCTGATATATTTTCTTCAAAATCTGAAATTTTGGAAATGGACTGGTAACGTTTTGATTGTTGCCATTCTTATGGCTTTTTACTCGTGGTATGTAGTTTGGCAGGAGTTCCAAAAGTCTTATGGACTCAATAATTTATATTAGGGTTTGGTTGCTTGAATGAAGGTGTTTCGAGAATCCAGTTACTTATGTTCTGATACCCGTACGAACCTAGGTGGCAATGTGTATTTCCCCTCCATACTTCTTGAATATAACTTATACTCTTAGATGCCAATGCAATGTTGCTGGCATATAGATATTGAAATACAACTATATGTGAGTTGATGATCAGCCATTTGATTGAACACAATGTTTCCAGACAAGAGAATAAATGGTCGCAGATGATTATGCTTCTCATTCATATATGAACTGTTTGCAAATTTTGGTTTAAATTTGTTACCTAATTTACTCTGATACACCACATTTGTCAGAACAGTAATTTTAGTTGAGTCTTCCATGTTAGATATTGTTTGTGGCATTAATCTGAAGACAGGAAAATTTAACTTTGTTGGTTAAGCTTATGTATGATTCCCATTTATGTCATCTCCTTATGAACTCTTGTGGAGACAATCTGTGATTCTTGTTATAGTATTATTAAATGATTCTGGTAGAAGCTTGATAGTGAACATCAGACACTTATTTTCGAACATCTGACACTTATTTTGAAAATATAATGACAGCACCTTTATCACTTTGAGCAGTCAGAGTAGAAATGTGACCACGAGCTTCTTACTCTATCTTTTCTTTAAAAGCTTTTGTCCCAATTTTTGTGCAACTTCTCATAATGTGGAGAATAGCCATCGTATCTTTCTTGTGTGCTTGCCAGGGTATACTTATAAGGAGAGATCTTATTCTTTAAGGAGTTCGATGGCTATGAACTGTGCTTAGTATTGATGTAGGTTCATCTTGACCAAACACAGTCTTAACTAGTGGCCTTAAGTACTGGTTGGGGGACTTGGGGTTGCTGAAGTCTTCAGCCACTTTTTAATCTTTTAATGATTTAGGGGATCCTGAATCTTTATTTGTTAACTTATGTGTATGTAGGAAAAGCGTATGCCATAAAGTAGGAGTTTGAATTTCCACTCAGCAATTACCTTGGGGATTTTCTCTGTCGCCTGGGTGTAAATTGGTTCCATCAGATTGTAAAGCCAAATTTCATTTCGTCCAACAGAAGACTTATTTGATTTTGGTTTTGCTTTCTTTTACCTTATACAAGATTTTTACATTAACAGTAGGTAGTCAGGTTTATTAACAAAATAACAGAATAACTAAGCTTAAATTTTAGTTCTGATGTACTTAGATGAGTTTGTTTGGTGAATGAATAGCATAGAAAGAAAGAGAACATTTATTTATTTATATTTTTCTGGTATCACTAGGCTCTTTGAAGATGCTGATTGCATTTTCTTTCATAGCACGTTCTTTTTCTACTGGTTGGCCTGGAAGTTATATGAGGGTTAGTTGTTATGAACATAAATTCCAGAGTATGTTCATCTATCATGTTTTGATAGAGCCTGGTAGCTTGATCTATGTTAATTAGGATATGAAAACATGCTTGTCCAACTTTTATGTTGAACTGGGAACAAGAGGCATGGTTTGTCAATTCTCTGTATTATTTTATTTGCGATGTAATTTTTCCTTTATGAAACCATATGAAGCTTTTCCTCGCCATTATTTCTGGGACACACTTGTTTTCGGTGCTTTTTCTGCCTTCCCGTTTTCATCATCTTCTCAACCTCATAGTAGTGTGAAGTTATTTTCCTGAATGTAATTTCATCCTGAAATCTACATCCAGTTGTGACTCTGCGTTGCCAGTGAAATTTAAGCAGCTCTAAATTATAGTTTGTCTATTGGTTTACACCAGTATAAACAACTTTTAGCAACAATTGAGGGGAGCGCCATATTTTTATCATGCATGAAGCAAACTTTCCCAGTTCTGTTTCACTTGATAATTTTAGATCTTATAATATTAGAAGAGTGTGATATTGCAGATGTTATACATGGTGAAGCTGACTGCTGAACCCATAATCTCTAAGTTCTACCAGTAGCAAGTTAAGTTTTAGCTTTAAATATGCAAAAGCCTTTCCAGCTAGGTTGCGCTATTGTCCCATAAATTTGTTATGCACTCATGGCACATGCACAACGCTCCTGCCCACTTCCTGTGGTCGGTTCTGCATTTACTAAAAGACGTACAAGCGATTAACCTTCACCCGTGCAGACAGTAGCAGAATTTTTTCGTCTTTTGAATTATACTTCATTTGGTCGGATGCACATTTGCGGTTTTGGGTTTTGTGAAACTGGGTATGCGCAAGACTTTATTTCAGGAAAGCATAAAGCTTGAAAACGAGTATTGACTCCCAAAATTGCAAAATTCGTTAGTTCTATAGAATAGCTTTATAAATACTCCATAAGGTATTACTATTCAAGCATCCAAGTTATAAAGAATGATTATTTCACAAGAGTATATATTCCCTACTTTCGGCTTAGCAAAGAGCCACTGGATAATGTTGATAAGAGCAGCGTCTTCACCACGCTTTGACCCAAGAAGTTTTAGTTTCAAGTCTATGATAATCTCCCTTCAAGTTCTTAACACCTTTTCAGAATGTTATTAGTAATTGTAATTTACTAAAACGTCTACGAAAGCTTAATTCAAAAAGAAAAAGTGCATCTGGACGGCCAAAAGATTTTGAAATGCGATAGCCACCTCAAATCCACACCAAGTTGATGCCATTGAGACTTTTACTTTGCGTACGAAGGCAGCAGTGTGTCTGATTCTCTTCAGCATTATCAAATTACCGATTGGCCTCTCTCTCATCTCATTCACAACCCATGCTTGGATAATTTTGCACTCTACAGAGGGGCATAACAGTCATGATATAGTGCTAATGCAGGAGACAGATCAATATCATGCATCTTTTCTCTTTATAGTTGCTTAGCCTATATGAAATGAAGTTTTGAGCACATCTCACCTCCCTTATATTTTGGTAGCAAAGAAGAGAAGTAGATAAGTATTGAGGGATAGAGAGAATGGAAGAACAGATTGATACATTGGGAAAGTCATTTGTTGATCATTACTACCATCTCTTTGATAGTGATAGACCCTCTCTCTCGTCTCTATATCAAACAACGTCCATGCTCACCTTTGAAGGCCAGAAGATATTTGGGGTTGATGATATCTCTACTAAGCTTAACCAGTTACCTTTTGATCAATGCCGACATTTGATCAGCACCATTGATTCTCAGCCTTGTACCTCTACTGGTGGCATAGTCATCTTTGTCAGTGGCAGCCTCCAATTGGCAGGAGAGGAGCACCACTTAAGATTTAGCCAGGTTATTATTATCATTTTTTTTATGAGAGGTCATTAATCAGTTTAAAGAGCTTGAAAAACATGTAGAAGTAGTGATATGAAATTAACATATTATATCATATTGCAGATGTTCCACCTGACGCCCACACAAGAAGGAAACTTCTTTGTGCAGAATGACATATTTCGCCTCAATTACGGTTGATTTGTTCTTCTTCAAATTGATACTGGTGCTGTGTAATTTTTTTTCGATAACATCGTGTTCTTCAAGGAATAAAACTAATCCGCATCACCTATTCTGGTTTCTTGAAGCTGTTTTTATTTATTTTAGACAGCACTTTCTTTCCAGTATAACACACGTAAAGTTGGAACAAAAGCGAAGCAGCAATAATCATAAACCTATCATTCATTGATGGGTATCTAGCAAAGGAAATTTGCGTACAATTAATTAATTAACTAATTATTTTATGGTGTATTTCTATATTCAAATTGTTCATGTAACACGTAAATTGTCATCTTGGATATGATGATGTGTCAAATGAAAATTAATTGTTATACATGCGTTTTTTACTTTTTAATGGACTTGGCAAAACGGGCAGGCCAGGTAGGTGCGAGTCGGGTCCAAACAAATATGAGTTCAGCTGGTACAGGTAAAAAATGATTGGTTCTAACTTCTAAACAGCTAAAGAATATTGGACCTATATCCTACCTTACGCAAGTACGGGAGGATTTGTGGGTACGTGTTTACTGTTCACTACAATTTTCATTCGTTACAATCACACTTCACAATTTCTGTAATTTTCATTTGTTACAATCACACCCCCCACAATTAAGCTAATTTTCAATTTCCCAAAATTTGGACAAATACAAAACAAATACTTATCTGAAATTACATCACACAAATGCATAAACAAAAACAAAACAAATACTCATATGATATTACATCACACAAATACAAAACAAATACTCATATGATATTACATCTCACAAATACAAAACAAATACTCATCTGAAATTACATCACAGCTACCACTTGTTACTAAGTAAGTAGTAAAATTATTCAAGAGACTTGTGTCTAAACCATATATATATAACTAACCACTGTAGTAGCGTCTCAATAGTATTTGGATAGTTTCCCTCAGAAAAGCTTTCAGCACTGGTCCCTGCAAAATCAAATGAAATGTTCAGCCAATAAAAAATAAGGTTAAAAATTAAACCATGGCTGCATTATCCCACATAAATTCTTAATTATGCTTACAGAAAATGAGTTAAGTATGCATACAAAAAAGTCAAGGCAGGTATGTTGGGTGTGAATCTGATATACCCGCTTGGGTTCTCAAAGAGATGAGAGAGTCAAAATGGATCTAATAGTACGAAATCATCGTTATTGTTTTCACTGGAGACTTAGGCAATTACAGATCTAAATCAATACAAGACCCATCTCTCTGTCACTTACAATCAGGCCACCAAATGAACCAGAAAACACATCCAAAAACAGACATTAAACACAATTGGACCTTTTTGGTTATGTCTGCTTGTGTTTATCCTCCAAATCGCATCCTCATAACTTTCACTTATTTTCATTTCCGATTAACCAAAACAATTATACATACATCTAGCAAACAAGGTAATAATTAGTTCACAATTTCATTTCATAACGGCAAAGATCAAGTTACCAAAACCCAGTTTACATACAAAAATTTAGAAAACAAAGTCACAACCCAAATCTATATATCTATATAAATCCTTAAGTCTAAGTTTTTTGAACGCCATGTAGGACTCTAAAATTGCTATAAGTGTCTGCATGTCATTGGTTTATGCTATTTTGGATTATTAATCATAGATATTAATATAATAACAAGATTCAATGTTTGTTGGATGTTTTTAATTATGTAAATACAATATTTGCTGGGATATTTCTGAAGCCTCTTCACCTCCCATAGTTTTTATCATTTCAGTTACGTTTTATTTAATTTGATTCGATGTTTTTGTTTAATTGAATTTGAAGGGCCAGAGATATATGAATATTTATCATTAATATGAATTAATGAATGTGAATATTAAGGGATTGATAAGAAGTATTATTGGATTTAACATTAATATGAATTAATGTTTATGTGTATTTAATATGAAAGGTTAGATACACTTATTTTTATTATTATTTTAGTGAATATGAAAGGATTCATTATTTTGAATCCTATTTATATGTCGATGTATTAATAGTTTGTTACATTATTCATCTGAAGAAAGAAATGTATTCAATTTTAAATTGTTATTTGTAATTGTTTTCTTTTGTTTTTGCCAGATTATTGTTAACCTTTTTTGTTCTGATTTGATGTAGGTATATACTATTGGTTGAAACATAATATTTGTTCTCATAATTGCAAATAACGTTCTATTGAAGGTGTTGATACAAGATTTTGTACCGATTAGAGTGATCCGACTGACCATGACAGAATCGGAATTGATATGAGCTTGATTACGGGTAACCAACAATGTTATGAATGAAAAACAGTAAAATAATGACACAAAGAGTTTTTAAAGTGGTTTGACGAGTTAAACTCTTGAGCCTATGTCTACTGTTTTTGTATTTGCTGTGAGAGCTTACAATAATATTCCTAGAACAATTTGCTAACCCATTTCTCATTGTTGGAGGGGGTTTATATACAATTTTTGTACAAAGGAAAGAGCGAAAATAAAGGGATTACAATTAAGATTGAAATATAACTCCGATATTCTTATGATTGAGCGCTGAGATTGCACCAAGATTGTTGTCGATCTGATCTCTTCTGAGATATCCGAGATCTGAAGTTATCTATGAGCTGGTTGAACAATTGTGAGGATTGGTCGCAACTAGCTTGTGCTAGGTCGAGCTACATCTGAACGAGCTTATGTTGGGTTGGACAATCGATTAAGTCAAACTGATTCTGGATCGAGTTATAACCTCGCTAACCTCAGACTTCTTCGAGCTTGATAGAAAAATCATACACAACATTTGCCCCTAGTGTTCGGTGCTTGTTTCGAGCTTCGAAGACTATTGCTCGATTTGATATCAAGCTTGGACTTTGTCGGTTGTATGCTGAATGCTGATGTGGTCGAGCTTCATGAGTCGGACTAATCTCTGGTCGACATACCCAACACTTGGCTTTTCTTTTGCTATGATATTCTTGATAAACTCGGAATTTGAAATGAGGGGCATATGTGAAACTTCCACGTGGTCATGTCGAATTAAATGCAACAGCCTTTGACAGTTACTTTTCATTGTGCATGGGCGACTACAACTGTCCACATGCGAAATTGAGGTGACGTGAGACGACAGTTACGATTGTAGCAGTCTAACGGTTGATCGACCCTCATAGATGATTGACACGTGGCCACGTCCAATGGCTAGGATTGCTCGACGAATGAAAGGTCGAGATTCACTATAAATCGACGGTTACGATCGAATCTCCATGCAAACTACTATAAAAGCGGGCAACCTCGTCAAAACTTCTACACACTTTGCAAAAGTTTTCAGATTTTTTTGCTTATTCCGTCACTACTCTTTCATTTTCACGACACTTTTCCGGCGAGTTTCTTCTATTTTAACACTTTGGTAAGGCTTTTTTCTCTTCCTTTACTTGTTTTTATACCTTTTTGAGGTTGACGGTGGCCATTGTTGTGGCCACATTGAGTTTTTTAGGACTTTGTTAGGGTTTTTTAGGTGTGTTTCTGGTGGTTATGGTTTTAAGGAGGGTTTACGGTAGTGGCTGTCGGAAGCCTAATAGCTCGTTTGTGTTTGTTGTCCGATACGAGCTACCCTAGGTGCCTGAACTGAAAGTAAAGTGTGGATAAGTCACCGAATTTTTGAGCTCTGACACATGTTTGCTTTTGTTTTAGGTACCTAGAGGCGAGCTTTCACCATGTCTTTGTCGAGTAGCCATAGCATTGATCGCATGTTCGACTCTCCAACGGGCTTAGCGGTTCTTAGGAATGTAATCTAAGAATTTTGAGGACGTCGCTGTGTAGAGCTTGGACCCCAATGCAGCGGGCTCTTCTGACCACACTTTTGTGGAGATTTCTCAGCCGAAGAAATCTCCAACCCATAGGCCTTGGAAGGAACCACATTCCTTGGTTGGGGCCGAGGATATTAGGCGCATAAATAAAGTTTATGCGCCTCAACTTTCTTTAAGGGCTCTGGGAGGCTTCTCTCGTAAAAATCCCCCCACCGATTATGTGGCGGTTTCTGATACACTCTTGAGGTGTGGGATGTCCATTCCCTCTCATTACTTTGTCACCAATGTTTTGGAATGATTGGGTATCGTTTCTCTTCAGTTGTCGGCAAACTCGTATATAGTCATAGTCGGCATGTACATAGCGTACCGAGTAGCTAACTTGTGCGAGCTTTTTGTAGAGGAGCTTGTCCACTTGTATAGATTGAAAAAGAGTTAGGACCAAACGTACTAACTTTCCAAGGCGAGAAAAGTACAATTTAATGGTTTGGTCGATGTCCTAAAGAATGTTTCACACTGATACTCTCATTACTTTTTCTATGAGGTCGGGGAGACCGACATTTTTGCTCCAGAAGCTAGTAAGATTCTGACCCTTATGCATGTAAAGAATGTTTCGAAGCTCGATTGTCGACCTAACCACATTCTTTCATTTTGAAGTAAATGTCAAGAAAAACTTTCTTCCTATAGCTAGCTTAGAGTGGCTTCAACAATCTTTTTGAGGGCAAGCGCAAATGATCGAGCTTATCACGCTTCCTTGGTTGAGAGAGTACAACTTTTGTGTCGACGAAGGCAAATTCAAAACAATTCTTGAGAAAGGTAAGTGCTTACTTGCTCACTTATTTTCTTTTTCGCTCTATTAGGTCACTGACTATTTGAATTGCTTCGCAAACATATGGGCCGAAAAACCTAAGGGCCTAAAGAAGAAGATGGCAGCGCTTGAGGCTACTAAGAAACTGTCGGTTGCTCTAGCGAGGAAACAACCCGCTGACATTGTTGGGGCGTCTAGGTAGGGTACCTTGCGCCTGGTCCTCAAACACAATAGTGGCAAGCTTGGGGAAGGCCTAAGTGCCAAGAAGCTCGTGACTGCTTCTAAGGTAGTCGGGGAGAAGGGTGCCTTCGAGCTCTAAAAGGGCTCAGCGAAGAAAACCCCAGATCAAACTAGAGGCTCGGGGTATTCGAGCAGCATGATGGCTTGGGTAAGAAGAAGGTCTTGGAGTAGCAAGAAGAAGGTCT